TTCTAGGTGTTAAAACCAATCTAGTACAAATACATGCGATTTTTGTTCGCGAAAAAGCGCCCCTCCCCACGTACACTCCTCCCCACCATCTTCGACAAAGTTGGTAGAGCAGGTTTTAACGTCACTAACTTTTTTTTTTCGAATGTTACACAATCGTACAATGCACTTTAGTAAAATTAGCTTCTTTTCTACGTGAGTTAGGTTATCCACTCGAATCACCAATAAAGTGTAAATACTTGAGATTTTATTTAGCGAAAAAGTGCCTACCCCTTTACGGTTAAACAATCATACAATACGCTTTAATACAATTGGTTTCTGTTATAAGTGGTAACGTTTATCGACTAATCAATCTAGTGTAAATTCTTATAATTTTGGTCGCGAAAAAGCGCCCCCACCCCCACCTAGGAAGAGCTGTAAAGCGGTTTTTGCAGGTCACTGTTTCTAAAGGTACATGTTTTACAGTTACACTATCAAGGTAGACAAGAGTTAAATAAGTATGTAAAGGCTTGTAGCCATTAAGTTCTTAACTTAGACTGTTTATAATTAAAAGCTGCAGCATAAAATCAGCTTTAAAAAAAATTCCAACCCTTTTGGCGCCCCACCAGGGTCGGCCGCCCCCCCCCCCCTTTAGCTACGCCTCTGCCTACCCAAAGAGATGTCTGAAAGAAACTCTTGAGGAAGGATACAACGGGCGCTAGGTTGGTAGTGCTGTCTATTTTCTCGGTACTTTAATTTATACAAAATATAGTCACAGGCATATCGCTAAACCATGCACCTAATCTCATTCATGACAAAAGTCGCATTTAGAGTATCTTTCAGGCAACTCTACTTGGGAGGAGGGGGCTTCGTCATATTTCGTTTTCGTTTCACTGTGAAAGTTTTTAAATTGCTTGTGTTTTCTCTAGAGCGTTCTTGTCAGATACATACACAGATAGATACTACGAGAAAAATGGCCCGTTGAGGAAGGATACACCGGGCGCTAGGTTGATAGTGCTGTCTCTTTTCTCTAAACTAAAACCAACCCACCCCCCCCCCCACACACACCACCCCCACCCCACCCCACCCCACACACCACCCCCCACCCCCACCCCCCACCCCCCACACACACCACCCCCTCCACACACCGCCCCCCCCCCCACACACACCACCCCCCCACCCCTCCACCCCCCCCCCCCCCCCCCCAAAAAAAACATGCCTACCGTCCCATTCAACGAAATATAATTATATACTTTTTCCAGTGTCCGCCCCTTCCCCGAAAATTCTACCCCCGCCCCCGAAAATTTCAAGTACCCCCACCCCTCTCTGGGGAGGAAAAAGTCTAAACTAAAACCACCCCACCCCCCACACACACCACCCCCCACCCCCCACACACACCACCCCCCCACCCCCCCCCACCCCCCCCCCCCCAAAAAAAAACATGTCTACCGTCCCATTCAACGAAATATAATTATATACTTTTTCCAGTGTCCGCCCCCTCCCCGAGGGGGGGGGGGGCTCAGACGTTCTTACGCGGGGGGTGGGGCTTCGCCCCTACCCGAAGAATTGTATGCAAGAAACTCTTCACGCAAACCATTAAGATTAGACAACATTTCCTTTTTATTCAATGTTAACGCGAAAATCAATGACGTCATATAACTTTGAGCACTCTCTGGGTTTGAGATTATTTTCTACTCTGTGCGCTAAATGTGTCGACGTCATATTTCGTTTTTCGAATTACTGTGCATGTTTTTAAATTGCTTGTGTTTTCTCTAGAGCGTTCTTGTCAGACAGAGCGTTCTTGTCAGATACACAGACAGCGAAACTATTAGTATTAATTAGATACACAGACAGCGAAACTATTAGTTTTGGCAATGGCTTTTTTTTATTTCAATGTTTACTCTAGAATTAATGACGAAATTTTAATGTGTATAGTTTTCCGGCTATAATACCTTAGGCTGCATATTTTGTTTCGTTTTGAAAACTATGAGGTAGAAATTTAGATTATGTATGATTGTAGTGGGGTTCCCCTGACTCTGAATCTAAAAAATGGCTGCTAGGCTAGCCTAAAGTGAAGTAAAAGAGCTTGGTTACCTCTGATGAAAACATTGCTAATCTTAATTAATAATACTGAAAAACAGGTAGAATCTGGAGTCTAGAAAATCTAGACATTATTTGTAGGTAATCTATCGTTTTAAGTTTTAGGTACGTAAAATCGCCCGCGACTTGTAATGTGAAAAACAGGTGACTCCTTAAATTTTAATAATTATTTCACATTTTGATGAAGTTTTATGTTTTTTAAAATACAAAAATGTTTCCTTGTTTCATTTATGTACCTGTTTTAAAACAATTGAATTAAAACTTCAGCAACAAATGAAGACTAGCAATGTTTCCAACAGATGCATCCATGCTCATTTTCTATAGCAGCCATCTTGTTTAAGTTTTATTTTTATAAACTTACGAGCCGACCCACGGCGTATCATACGCCGGTATTTAGTTGTTTTATTTTCTACTTTTCAGTAATTCATAATTTGTGAATTCGACAGTACCACTGCTGTCACTGAAAATATTAGCTTTAAAACACTATCAGTAAGTCGTTAAGGACGATACCCCCCCAACCCCTAACCCCACCCCCCCCCCCTCCCAGTGAAAGCAGCCTCCTAAGTTTAAAATCGTTTCAAACTAAATTATCTGCCCCTAATAGCCGTCACTAAACCCAGCTCAACGATTGTAAACATTTAGCGTGAACCACAGTTCACCAGGCTTCCTAGTCCTAGAGAGGAAGAGAGGGGACTGCAAGGCGCGCTTACAGCTTGTTTTCTAACATCTCCAAGAAGAGAATTATATATATATAGATAGCGCGAGATTCAGGGGGAAGCCACTCTATTTTACAAATGGCTTCTGTTTATATAACAAATCTTGCTCGCATACACTGCTGTTTAAAGTTAATTTCTGGCCTATATTGATATATTTAGCCATTGATTTTGGTTTATTATTCATTTATCTATAGTATTTGACACAAACATATCACAATTACGTACCCAAAGCGATAGATTACCTATTTCTAATGTTTTTAAAAATGTTGATGTTGTATTCAGTGATTCACAATGTATTCAATTTCAAATCTATCGTTTTATCTTAGGCTTTTAGGTATGTAAAATCGTCCGTGGCTAGTAATGTACGAAAAAGTTACCTCATTGTCAAGGCTTTAATAGAAATATGTTGTGATATATTTATGTCAAATATTATAGATAAATCAATAATAAACCTAAATCAATGGCTAAATATATCAATGTAGGCCAGAAATTAACTTTAAACAGTAGACGCGGGCGATTTTACGTACCTATAACGATAGATTACCAAAATAGGGCCTATTAAATATCAATTATAATTAAATAAAATGTGTTGATCTATCAACTAGAGATCAAAACTAATGTCAGACGCAATATTTTTGGCGATATTGAACAAGGTGGTATTCAAAGTCAAGACAATGAGAGAAGCTGTTTAACCATCAAAACATTTTGGTTGTGGTAAAATTTGGAACATCATATTCATTGTGAAACATCTGGATGGTGGAATTCGGCTGCAATTAAATTTTCTCAGGGATCATCACATTTTACGCATACCCAGCCTACTTCACCACAAACCATAATTTTTTATAGATAATTTTTGCTCTTCTTTCTTTGAAAGTAAAGTTTAATCTCAATTTAAAAGCAGTAATGTAACACATACCATGGGTTACCAGTCAGGAGGGATAATTAATTTGTAATTTATTTGGTTGCGGCCCTTATAATTAATTTGTAATTTATTTTGTTGCGGCCCTGATGTTATTTTTTTATGCTCTTCTGTGAGCAATATTCCCCGTGTTCCCATTTCATGTGACATCTGGAACTCAGGGTAGTTGTGCGCGTGTCCGCTGCATTCAAACCCCAGGCTGCGGATGACAAGGACCGTTCAGTTGCTTAACTTGGTTATGTAGACCTAATCAATATATTGTACATTATATTATTGGTTTTTTATCATACTAGTGCCACATGTTGCGGACTATAAATGTGAAGTATTTTATTTAATTTCTTGTTTTGTATTATTCCCACTAGTGCTGCATGTTGCGGACTAGTTGGGTTAAGTATTTATAATTATAATACTTGTTGGCGGTATTGTTTACTGGCCTTAATCTGTTTTATGACACACGTTAGCCTACACGTGGTAGTGTATTCAGATATGTAACCTATTATTTGTTTACATTTGTTTTAGGACTATATACCATATGGATTTATTGTACATGGATTTGATATTTGATGTTAATGAATTTGCTGTATACGGATTTGCCATAAATGCAATAAAGCCAGGATCTATCAGCAAAAGCATCATTGATCATTTTTGTGTTATCTCTCAGGGTCAGCCCTTAAAACACTACACCTGAGTGTGTGGTATCACACCACATCCCTACTGAGGCAGTTTTACAATAATTTCACTCTAAGCCTATACTGAAAAACAAACATTTTCACAAGGTTTATTGTTGAGCGTTACAAGATTAGATTGAATACTTGTTCATTTTTCTTAGAAGTTGAAAGACGGTTGAATATAAGTTAACAAGTTCTGAGAATAGGGCATATTAGATCTGCTACAAAATTGTAATATGCAGCTGGCTAAATCTGATCAGTTGTGAACATAACCATACTTAACAATATATTTTAAAATAATATTGTACATCTGATACACATTAAAATACTTTCTTGAAATGTTTCTTTTTTCGTTTAAATCTATAAATTATAAGGCAGTTTCCAAAAAAATTATTTGGGGCACATAAAACACATGCCTATGTCTAGTGAGAGATTGTGGTTGAAAAAAAAATGCTTCTTACTGTTTGTCAGCGCAATAATTTCAATACATTTTTAACTTAGCATTATTTTAAAGAATAGTAATTAATTAAAAATTTATTTCGCTAAATCTTAACACATTTTTGAACACTTATGCAAAATTAAGAAATACAGCTAAGTTTCAGCACATATTTTTTTGTTTTCAGATTTAAGTAATTGTGGTACAATGTGTTCACAACATTCTAGTGGATTTGCAAAAACAAATTCTGGTAACTTTTGCTTCCAACATTGTTGATACTAGGCGACATTTATATTTTCAGAATTGTTTTTACTAACCATACAATCTTTTCATGATTTTGAATGCCCAACTTCTATAAAAGAAGTGACTTATCTTGTTCCTATGTACTTAATTTGTTCAATATGTACTATGATACAAATAATCAGCTTATCTCATTACATCCTACATCAATTGTTGGAAAGTACCTTGCACATTAATTAGGCTTGTTTGCCATACTGTATCGCTACAAGGCAAAGAAAGCTTTAATGGAAGCCAAAAAAATGGTTGCAACAAAAAAAATGCTGTACCAATCTCTCCTTTAAAGCCGCCTTTTTAAAAGTATGCAATGGATGCAACCAAAGAACATTGTATTTTGGTGATTTTTAGCATCTATACATGGTTTTGGTTTAGAGAAAAAGACAACACTATCAACCTAGCACCTGTTGTATTTCTCCCTCAACAGGTCATTTATTTAGAGTGTATATAATGTCTTCAAATTTCTTTACAGAGACCAGCCAAGGTGTTGTAGATCCACAGTATTTTTCTTTAAAAAAGAGAAAAGAGAGTTTTTCTCAATTGAATCAGCAAATACCTGCTGAAGTAATTGAAAGTCTTACTTCAAATTTGTTTTACCTAGAAGGTAGGTTATAAAAATGATTTGTTTAAAGATAAGTAGTATATTGTCACACTGTAAAATGGAATTAAGCTTCCTTATTAAAAATTAATTGTCAATTTTTTTTGTATTTTATGTCAATACACACAAAACATACTGCTTCGTTAGTTACAACGCTCTGCTGTTCAAAGTGTGGCCGAAGAACTAGGATAGTTTACAATATTAAAAAAACCATACAGTGTTGTCTAGGGGAAGGTAAGCTGTGTTTAATTAGTAATTAGTTAATCTTTTCATTTCTAAACCACTACTCACACAGCCTTAACTTAAAGGTGAAACTATCAGAAAGTTTGTTTTATTTGTTCATAATATTACAAGAAAACATCTTATGTAACTATTTAAATATAAACATTTTAACAATTAAAAACATCTATCAGTAACTTTTTATATCTAATTGAAAAGAATGCACCCTTTTCTCTTTTATTGTGATATAGTTATATTATTTCTTTATTCATAAACCTTCAATGTTATTTAAACGTTTTCAGCTACCTATTTGATTCATCAAAGTTTAACAAAATTGGGCAGTACTTCTCCACAAGAGTCAACACCATTGACATCGGAAGATGGAGTTAATGAACATAATACTGTTACTTCACTTGATTCAGCTGAACCTACGAGTGGTAAATTTAAAATAGCTTTAAAAAACCGTAATGATAATATGTTAGCTGCATTGGAAAAAAAAAATCTTGTCACAAAAGACAACACTACCAATTATTTTTAAATTCAAGTTTTTGTATTTATTTGTGATTAATAAACAAATCCTATCACAACCAAACAGTGCAGCTCAAAGCAAGAAGTGAAAAAATTAACACCTTATTAAAATCTCTAACTTAAGATTACTTATACTGTTATCCACATTTCTTTTTTTGTTGTTGGGATATTAATAACTCACATATTTTTATAATTAGTCTTGCTTTTTTGATCAATTAAATTCAAGTTATAGATATTTAAATTGTTAAATTACTAAATCATGCACAAATCTTTAGCTTCAAAAAGGTAAAATAAAAAACCTTTCTACAAAATTTAAACTACTTCATATTAAGACTTTAAATGATTACTAAGCTTAAAATTATACAAAATTTAATATTATTATTATTTAGTATTATTGTATTTTAGATGAAGACACAATTCAATCACAGCCGAGTGAGATGGACTTCTTTCATCAGATACTGCCTACATCACGCTTATCTTCTGAAAATTCTATTTTACAAAATACAAGTGTTCTAAACAGTGGAGAATTTCATGCCACCCTATCAGCTGCGCCAGGACCTTATGGCAGGTTGTCAAATAATATGGATAATGCCATAATTCCAGAGCATGTAGACCCAATAGAAGAACTATTTTCACCCCTCTTATATTGTGCATTTACTAATTGTAAGTCAAAACATTGTGAACATAAATTTTTGGTTTTGTTAATTTAATTTTTATTAATATTAAAAGAAATTTTTAATGGCTCACTATGCTATTAAAAGCACTTTTTGTCCAAAGTTGTTGTGCGTTGTAGAAATATCTCTATACAAGACTGTTTTTTTTTTCTAGAAATACATGAACTTTGTGTTTTTGTTTGTATTTTTCTTTATCCAGCGCAGTTCTGTTTTGTTTCTTTAATTTGTTCAAGTACACAGTATTAACACAGTACAAATGTTTCTTGACCACACCTTTGTTTAAAAGCAGGTAATCCTTTGTCTGCATTGGATGCTGCGGGAAACAACAGACAGGATTATTCGCCGATAGTTGGTCAGGCTTCTTTTGGTAATTAATATTTTCGCTATATTGTAAAATTAAGTATTAGTAGGAAGTTAATTCAACTGTAGTAATTTTGAAACAATTTAAAAACATTGATTTCTTATATCAATTCCCATTCATGATTAATCTCTATTTACAAAATATCATGTTTATGTGCTATTTTTAACTAAGTATGCTTATTAGTTACCCAAACAAAACTGCTATTATCTAATATGCAAAATTTAAATGGCATTGGTCAATGTTATTTCTAACTAAATCCCAGTAACTATTTGTATAAAATTGTTTTTCCATAATTGATGTAAGTGCAGGGGAAAGGTTTTGTATTTTATTTGCTTATTAAAAAAATGTAAAAACATTGTTAGAATTATGTTGGGTGTGGGTTTAGAAAAGCAATACATGTCTTATTGTTGCTTTTATAAATTGTGTTAAATTCTTACACAGTATATGTTATAGCCAATTTACTTTAAACAGGGTTAATAATTAAATTTTTTGTCATGTGGTTTATGTTTGTACTTTTTCTTTGATCAAAACTTTTATTTTAAAAAACAGATACTGATTATATTGCTTTGATGGATCCTGTGATAAGCAGATGGCATAGGCATTCAGCTTCTGGTAAATAGCTTTATTTTGTTACATTTTTGTTCAGTAAACCTTCCTCAAATTAACAAACTTTCTGTGTTATTGTAATAATGTTTTCAATTACAAGGACATTCAGGTATATTTTGAAAACATATTTAAATATTGGTGCACTTTTAGGTATGGGTTATAAAATAATTTAAAAAATACTTAACATACTAGTTCTAATCTAACTTGCTTCTTAAGCTAACAGCATAGTTTTGAGATTTGACAAGTTACCCAATGAACCCAAATTTTATCTAGCACTTGGACACTTCTCATTCAGTTTGGCTGCTATGTATATGCTAGGAGACATTCAATTGTAATCAAAGTCTGGTGTGGTATTCCATCAGCAGTTTAATGATGCTTATGTATGACTCTACTATCATGAGCACCTGGAGAATTTTTCCAGTGTAGGCTGAGAGTTTTTTCAAGCTTAATCTCATCTATGGTATAATTTGCCACACTTTTTAGTGTTGTATTTAAAAATACTGTGCATTGTCAGTAAGCCCTAGTTGTAAACCTAAACAAGTAAAAACCAAACTTTATTTTGTGCGCTTTGGATACCAAATAAAACCCAAATGATCTTGGTTTTTTTTACCAAATATTGTTTTAAGTAAAACACATCAGTGTTAAAAAACAAAATAAAAATATGGTTTTACTAAAACCACAAAGTATTCTTCAAATACTCTAACTCTAACAATCTGAAGTACAACTGAAAAGTACCATTCTAGACTTGATTTAATATAGCCATATCAGGAACAGTTGTATACATCTATTTATGTACTGTGTACTGCTCTTTTATGCAGGTCATAATCCTTATAATGAAGCTGTTTCTCATAATGCACGCATCATTGAACTTCCAGTTGGCCTTCAAACAAATGAAAACACAGATCTTAATTTTGAATGTGTTAACGTGAGAGAACCTCCAGAATCTGATGGTGACTAAATTAAAATATAATTTTATTGTAATATTTTTTTTATTTTAAGATAATAATAAGTAGTAAAAGTCTACTATTTCAACATGATTTTGTATAGACATCATTAGCTCCAAGAGATTCTCATTTTTAGATGAAGATCAACCAAGAAATAATTCAAATCTAATGTGATAAGGACAGTCAGGATGACTAGTATTGGCAATTTTTTTCTCGTTGTCAAAAGTTATGAAAATTCATTGCAGCTATTAACACTTTTATGTCAAAAAAATTTAACTTTTGAATGATATAATAAAACCTATTTTTGTATATTATGTAAATGTGTATAAAGAATTCAAATTCATGAAATGCACAACATCTTAGATTGCAATTATCTATGCATTTTGCAAATCATAACTAATAAATTATATAATTCTCATGGTACTGTTACTGTTACCTATGTTGTCTGCTGGTTTAAAAAAAACATTCCTTTATGTTTTGGTGCAGAGTACTCTAATTCAGTTAATGTTAACATAAGGCAACAATTGTGAGATTCCAGTAAGTAAATAATTGTAAAATTTTACTTGCTCTTCCAAATGTTTTGATTAACTGTCTCTACGTTTAGAAAAACCAGTATTCATGTAGCTTTCTTTCATTGTGGTTATTACATTTACTCTTTGTGTATTAATAAATATCAAATAGAAGAATAATTTGCATTAGTGATGGTATTTAAGGCACTATGATAGGTAATATAATGCTGTGAAAGGTAAAAATGTTTTTAGAAAAGATTGTTTAGTAAGAATGAAATGAATTGTCTGCATTCTTCTATGTGATATCTATACTTTACAAGAAAGCAATTTTTACTTCAAGTTTTACTGGCCATATTTTCGGTCTTCCTTTTACAACTCACTGCCTACCTGTTTACAGATATTTTGTTGTACTGGCTGTGTTATTTGAACCAGTGTCTTTCTATGTAATCTATAAAGGCCACAAATGTACAGTGTGAATGTTTTTTTTTGTATTTGGCCCATTTTTAATCATGTTATTTTTTATAATAAACTTATTTGACCGGTGAACCAGTCTTGGTACATGATTTAAATTGTCAGCTATGTATGTGTCCTAGCAATTTTCTATTTTCTACACAAGTTATCATCTTGTTTTATACTGCCGAAGGTCGTTGAGATCACTTTGTAACTAAGGAAACTGGATTAACTTGGCAGTTTTGTGCTGTATGAAAATCATCTTGTATAACTATTGTGAACATTAACTTATATATTGGCATTGTAAATAGATTTGTTTATTTAGTGTCCTAATGCATGCTTTCACAAACAATTTATAAACAGTAGTCTCTCATAATAACTGGGTGGGCTTAGAGATGTCCTACAGACTGGAGCCAGGGATCTGAACATGAGATTTTCAGGCTTGCAGTCGTAAGCTCTATTACTCGACCATGCAGTCACTTAACACTAGTCTTTACAAAAGGTTAATTATTAATGTTAACTGAGGGGTTGGTGTGATCGAGTCAGCAAAGCTGATAGTTGCTAAACCGAAAAGTCTTGAGTTCGAAGCCTCTGGCAGATAAGGCTCAACATCTGGGGACAGCCACTCTTCTAGGAGAGACAACTGCAAAATCAAAAATACTGCTGCCTTGTAGTTTGTTATTGGTTGGGCAAAGACTATGGAACCAAATCCAAAAAGAAAAGCAGGCTGAAATTGGGGTCAACAAGTTGATATGTATACTTAATTGTGTTGAAGGCAATCCCAACACTAAAATCAAGAAAGTAGAAGAAAGAATGTTAGCTGCAAAAAATATAATAATCTACCTTAGATTTAGATGATAAATTAGAGTATTAAAATCTTCATTTAAAAACACTTTTAGCCTATACTTTCTTGGGTGGTGCTTAAAAATGGTCAGATTTTAGTAATAGACTACACTACCTGACTCACACATACACGCTTGGTTTAATCATAAAAACCTTTATAACATCAAGCTTGAGACCTACTGGTATTATTAGTAAAAAAAAAAAGCATTAGTTGCAAAATGTTTTTGAAAAGACTGCAAAAATGAACATTTTTTTTAACTATGTGTAGCACAGAAAATGTTCGTTTTTTCTCTTCTTTTTTTTTTTAGTGTTCTTAAATGACTTAAACTTAAAAGCTTCATGTCATTCAGTAAAAATTCCTAATACAATTTTTCAACCATTGCACATATTTTCTGTGATGTTATTGTAAATAATTTAAGAATGCTACTGTTGAATAATCACGAAAAATTAAGGCTCAGCTATATAAAAAAAAAAAGAACCCATAGGCCTACATGGCTGTACTTTATACAGAGGCGTAGCTACCCTTCCCGGCGCCCGGGGACACACTTTCAATTTGGCGCCCCCCCCCCCCTCACCCCCCGGAACAAACTTTCAATTTGACGCCCCCCCCCATATATTTGTTATATTTATAATGCAAAACTGCAGCTAAAATGAGCTTTTAGTTTTTTTCCAACCGATTTTGGCGCCCCCTAGGGTCGGCGCCCGGGGACATATGTACCCCCTGCCCCCCCCCCCCCTTCTGACTTTATATGTAATCCGTGATCAAATAAAGTTCAATGCCCTTTTGATTTTTCTGACCATGTGCCCCAGTAAAGGGGGTGGGGGTATTTATAACATGTATTATATATTTCTTCAAAGTAAAAAAAACAACAAAAACATGATCCAACTATTTATTTTGTGGATCTAAGATCTTATCCCCTCCCCACACACACATATTTATCCCCATATCTACTACTATGGGATATCCCCCCCCCCCCCCACACACACACCAACTTCATTTAGAATGCATATGCCTACATATCATTATCCTAATTCACTTCTCTATTAATCTCCATATTGAGCTCATTATCTATCCTTATCATATCATTTAACCTATCTATTTCCAAAATGACTTGGGTGGTAGCTTATGAGGGGATAACGATCATAACTTCCAGTCGTGGTTGTTTTTTTTTGGCGAGGGTTAGTGCACAGATGGGGGGGAGGGGGGGGCAATACAGGGCAGAAGAAATTCCCTACTCCCTTTTAGTCTTCCGTGTGAAGGGATTTGTTAATTAAAGACGTCATGAGAAGGGGGAGTAACGTTCGTCCTCTTTTTATGGACAACCCTGTATTGGAGCTCTATGAATTTATATTTAAGCTAGACTATTTTTAGTGAAAAGGGCAAAGGGGTCGGACTCAATTCCGTGCGTTCCGTCAAGACTTGTTTATTAAATAAATATTGTTTAATAGATAGCCAATTCAATTTGTCGAATCATCGGCTCACTAAATACATGACCCTCATCCGCTATTCTATGCCCCAACTATTCCTCAAGTCTTGTCTCCTATGTGATTCTGTACTCATTGCGTCATTGTCACAATACACACATACTGTTCAAACAAATAAAATAATAGCAAAAACTCTCGAACCATATCGTCTACGCTTTGACAAATTTAAATCACTAAACTAACGTTAATATCTAATATATAAAGCTCAATTCTGTATGTAACATGTAATAAGTTTGTCGTGGACATACTTTGATGGATTTAAGTGTTAGATTATTATCGTGCTCATAGTCTAAATTTATGAGTTAAAAAAATTACTATTGAAAGTGTTGGGAAATAATTTTCATTTCTCAAACTGATAGTAATAATTTTCGGCATGTTCATTAAACACAATTTTAAAAAAATATCATCTTTTACAAAAATTCTAATTATGTCTGAAAATTATTTATATTTAGTCCTTTAGCGCTTACTTCCCTTTGATAAATTAGGAAAACACAATTACTTCCCTTTATAAAACATTGCATTAGTGGAAAAGAATTTACTTTTTATTACTTTGTTTTGGTGTTGGGAAAAAAATAATTACATAATTAGCGGGGATTGATCAAGTGCAAATGTTGTAGGTATTTTACGGTTAAGCTTGGAGTATTATAATTGTTCATTAAATTGAAACAGGCGCATCCGCCTACGCCCCACCAGGGTTCAATTTGGCACTCTGGGCTATCCTGTGAGCGCTATGGTGCATAATTTCGCTTTAAACAGTGCGATAGAGTATGGATAAGAAAGGTTACTATAGTCTTTAAGTGAATCGAATCCGGGCGTCCTCTGGCGCTCAGACAGGGTGCTATTTGGGGCCTCGGGCCTCCCGTGTTCGGTTTGGCGTCTACGTTCGTTTAAGTGAGTGCAAAAGACTATGAATAAGTTGGGGTACTATAGTCGTTTATTAAGCTGAAACAGGCGATTCCGCCCCGGGCTAGACTGTGAGCACTTTGCGTTTATGTTCGCGTTAGTGTTTTCTTTGTGTTTAGGTTGGGTTTGCGTTAGTGGTTGCGTTTTGATTTGGTTCGTTTTTGTTCTTTCTTTTTTCGTTTTCGTTTTTTCCTTTGGGTTTGTATTTGTGTTTGTGGTTGGTTTTGCGTTTGGATTTGGTTTGTTTTCGTTTGCTTTTTCATTTGTTTTTTTCTTTGGGTTTGTGTTTGTGGTTGGTTTTGCGTTTGGATTTGGTTTGTTTTCGTTTGCTTTTTCGTTTTTTTCTCTTTGTGTTCGTATTGGTATTTGTGGTTGTGGTTGGGTTTGTTGTTAGGTTTTTGTTTTCGTTTGCTTTTTTTTTTTTTTCTTTGTGTTTGTATTGGTGTTTGTGGTTGTGGTTGGGTTTGTTGCTAGGTTTTTGTTTTCGTTTGTATTTGCAATTGTGTTAGCGTTATGTTTGCGTTTTGTTGTTTAGGTTTTGGTTGGTTGTGGTTTGGGTGGGCAATGCCGGGTTTATGATGATTAATAAACACACAGGTAATGGTCTTTAACAGAAAGGTTTTTCACAGAAGCCAGAGCAGGGCCTGGCCGGGACGGCTAGTACTTAATAAATTGGGGTTTATAAAACAAAGGGGTAGGGCCTATGGGTATAAGCCTAGTATAAGGGAAACGTGGGGCTAAAAGTATAAATAACAAATTTTGTCTATTTGCTTGTCTTGGCCCCTTTAGGGTTTATCAATACTAAAAAAAGACCACGGTGCAACGAGTACATCCATACAACAAACAAAACGAACTCAATCTTACATTTTCTATTTTTAATTTAAAAAGTGCTCAGGTCAAGTTTTTATGACATTTTGCACTTTGTCGTGGTAGGTCGACACTGGGCATGATTATTCACTTTACCTAAGTGTTACTTGACTAAAATCCTAGTCACATATAAATAAGACCAGACGTTGTTGTTACTGTGGTTCCAACATTAAGTTTTACAAGTTCCAAAGTATGTTCAGTCCACTTAAGCTGCTGAAGCATGGGAACTGAATTAAAAAAGTAGAACGCCTCTTCAGAGGATTTGACAGAAGATTCTTCATCATCTTATTTATTCTCACAAGTAAAAAGGGAAGGGCGAACCCCGAATCAAGTGATAATGAGGGCTGGCATAAATTATACGATTTAAGGGGAAAAAACACATGGTGATGGCTAGGTTATGTCTTGTAAATGACCAAAAATAGACTCCCACACCGAGATAGACTCCCCTTGCTAAGCCTCTGTTGACTGGTGCCATGTCAGTCCAGCTGCTTGGCATTCGAAGAGCTGATCACTTAAAGTGTGGTCTGCTTGTACTCAACGCAATTATAAATACAGCTGTAAGAATATGCTGGACATAGTCAAAGGTCCTGCCACAAGCAAGGCTAGCGTTGAAATGAAGTAGGCTATTTCAGCGGGTGGGTGGGGGCACACTTAACTAACATAAAACCTGGCACCCCGTAAAATGAAGTCACACATCAGCCTACAAAACGCATTACGTTTGTTTTATAAATCGATTACAGCATAAAATGTGCATTATTCTTTTATCATAATACATGACATGTATGAGCACAATCTTTTTAAAATAGGACGGAAAAATAATTTTGCAAATAAAAACACGCGATGTTAAATAATAAATACGAAAAGACTTCATGTAGGAAGGTTATTTCTCCGTGGAGGTTGTAGCGAACATTGATTAAGTATGTACTTTATAAATTATACAATTTTTCTGATTCGTGCGAGGGAGTGAGAGGGGGCGGGGGGGGGGGGGGGGGGAAGGGAGGGGAAACGGGTGCTGCAGAGAAAGGCCTGGAAAAAAACCTGATTGTAGCATAGCTGTAGAATGATTTTTTTACTGTAACTGACTGTAGCATAGCTACTTTTAAATGTACACCCTATGCCAGTTAAAAATAATTCAATATAGATCTAGAGATCTAGCAAGCTTTGTTTAAGTAAAACAAGCTATAAAAAAGCTAAAACAAATGCCTGAATTAGCAACCTATGATGATTATTGAATAAAAGTATTTAGATCTATACTTACTCGTACTGTACCAGTAATAAAATAAATAATGAAGCATAACAAACCAACAAATAACTGGTCACTTTAGCTAAATATAGAATTCACAACAAACACACGTTGTTTACAGTTTTAGTTAGTCATTTTATTTTGTGGGCTCAACTCATGAACAGAACTAAAATTTTGCTTACTTTGTCGTAATGACCACGTTAATTTGTTTTAAACAATTAGCTGTAAAGCCGCAATAATAATAAAAGAGTCTCATTTGTTCTATTATCGCACAAATCTGTTATAAATATAAATTTTATAATAATAAATGCCTAAATTTGACGAGGTCACGCACGAGAAAAGTGCTAAGTTAGGTAAGTGAACACATCAGTCAGTGCTGTGTTATTAATAAATAAATAATATTAGGCCTATTAACTTATTATTACTGTTATTTCCATGTTTAGCCAGTTTAGGTATTTCTTCAGAGGGTGTATGTGGTGGGAGCACATCCACACCCTCGCACGGACAACACAGGTGACAGAGAAAATGTTAAAATTTTAAAATCAAATAGATTCTAGATCTAGATCTAGATCTGCAACATGCATATTTTCTACTATGCTCATCTTACTTGCATACATGCACAACCCCAATAGTACCAACACTTACACCAAACAAAATATAGCCTTCCATAATCAATTGTTGCAATTTCACAACATTATATATAGGCATATAATATATCTTTTTCAGTTCGTTTTTCCAATGGGACATTAAATAATGATGACAAACGTCATTTAATATTAAAGCAATATTCATGCACTGGAGCTGCAAAAACTCGTGTTACACAACCAAACAAGCATATAGTTGTAGGTCAATTTTTATTACTTTTAATTATACTAATTTTTAATTAGCCCATATATTGTTTAAATATCTATTAGGCCCTATAATTTAAAGCTCAAAGGTTTTTACTGAGTCTTCGATGTTTGATGTAAAATTTATTTTAAACATCTTTTATTGTCGCTAGATTATATGTTAATATTTTACTTTTAATTATAAAGAAAATGAAAGTAAAAGTAAAATTAGTTGTTATTAAACCAGGTGTGCTATTCATTCAATTTCTATTGAGGTGACTGCTTTGTTACTCATTAATTAAATTAAATTGTAATTAAAATAGCTTTTTTTCCTTATTCATTTTAGACTGCTGAAATTAATAGCAGAGTTTATGTTGGCAGAGATTATGGAGATACTAATAGATACCCAACTGAAGTTTGCGAGTGAGTTTCTTTCTTTCTGTGTTTTTTTAAAAATGGAAGAATGATTTTATTAATAGCCTATTATTTTTCTATGATATTAAATATATAGGGCCTAGAGAAAACAATTAAAAAATGGGTTGTGTTTAAAATTCTAAACTTATGTCAACATCAGTGAATACATCTGACATTATTTGAAGTGCTAATTTTTAGGACTATATATTCTACATCCTACCTGTTTTTGGACATAGATTTCTTTTTAAAAAATTGACACATTATTTTGGATTAATGTTTAACTATTTTGATTTAATAAAAAAGTCTTTTAACTTTGTATGATTATATTTGTTACCAGCTATTATCTTGGTGTTCACAACAAGAAAACTGGAAAAGTGAAAGTGATGCCAGCTCAATTGATTCAGCTTGACCCAATAGTTGAAGGTTAGTTAAGCTTTTTATCTATTGTAAACTAAATGTGTATACATATTTTGTGTATAATTTAATTTGGTACTCAGACCTTAAAAATATATAGAACATATCTATAGTAAACTAAATGGTTATAAATATTTTGTGTATAATTTAATTTGGTACTCAGACCTTAAAAATATATAGAACATATCTATAGTAAACTAAATGTGTATAAATATTTTGTGTATAATTTAATTTGGCTTATATAGAACTGAAAACCTTGAGCTGTGAGTGAAAAAATTTAATAAACACAGCTTAATGAAATGTTGATAAAAAAGATTTATAAAATCACTTTCTTTTCTTCTAGACAAACAAGCTGCAGATGAAGTGGATATGTCACAAAAAAATTACAGACAAAAGGTTATACTTTTTAAAAATTTGTGTATACATCATTTTATCATAATGCAGTTGTGTTTTTCTTATGGGATGGTGTGGTCGGATGGTAGAGCTTACTCCTGCTAACCCGAAAGTCTCATTCAAATCCTGAGTACGTGGCCAAAGAATGTTCCTGAGTCTCATGGGTACCTCACTAGCATTTTAGGAAGTAGAAGAGGTGAGGCATAGTGATGACCACACTATGCCTTCAAATGTTATGGTCACTGAAACAGGTGAACTTTACTTCACCTCACCTGTCATGTTCGAAGGGTACTTTAATTCTATTTTACTGAGGTTGATTTAATATTTGTAAACTTCATTGTTAACAATCTTAATAAACGTCAATGTTAACAATCTTAACAGTTGGATGCGCTAACAAAAGAGTTTGGCTCCGGCCGTAGCCAAAGGGCTGTCAATAAACGTGAGAGGAACCAGCTGGATGACGAGATGGTATTGAAAACCACAGACTCTGTTGTAAGCAATGCTAAAGTTGAGGTGGAAAACAAACCTGAAAGTGGTAATGCAGCATTTTAATTAGTAGTTATATATTTATTTTATAAAACAAGAATCTGTAATAAAGAATATAAATACTGTAAGGTTTGTTCATAAGCAGAATCCCCCCTCCAACTCAGTGAGAGCTGAGAAATAGAGAAACATAAAACCACTAACTCAACTGCTGTGATACTTTATCCATAACGCTTCTGAGTATACAACATCCTTTCTACATTTTAATTTCCAAAATAAAATACACATTAAGATCAAGTATGTCCTCTTTTGTCCTTTGTCTCTTTTTATACAGCATTGTTATGAGATCTGTAAATATATCTCATTCATACATGTGTGTAATCCCATGGTGAAATGGCAAATTGCTTTCAGAGGCCCCAGTGTCAGAGGTTTCTTCCATCCCACCGTACAACAAAGATGCTACATCACCAGAACAAGTGTACAATATGGATGACAGTAAGTCTGAACCAACAAACTAAACATGTTTCTCACATATTAGTGTATGTTGGGTCTCACATAGTTAGATGAATGCTCTCATATCTTAGATGCCTGAACACACATGGAGCCCCATGTATTAGATTGCCAGCTGCATTAGTGATGTTCCATACAATATTTAAAATTAAAACATTATTTTAAAATACTCTATTTTCAAATTAACTTTTATAGTAGTATTTTTATGTATTTTTATTAAATGTACATTTAGGTCTTGATTTTTTAATTTGATTTGATTTTTTTTTTTGCTTTTTTAATTGTTTTTTCCCCTTTATAGTATCTACATGCCATATATTAATATTTGGTCCTTTTTCTCTTCACAGTTATTCCCCCTCCAGTTCTTTCATCCTTGACTTATTATTCTCAAGTTTTTGTTCAGTCTACCAGGGATGACTTGAGTAAATGGCACAGTGAGAACAAGTAAGAGAGTTTGTGTGTATGACATCACCTATTTTGAACATTTTCAAAAAGTGGAGTTAGAACAGTCTGGTTCTAGGGAAGCAAAGTATCAGGGACAGTAAAACAAAAATTTAAACTTAAAGTAAAAACAGTCTTCAATTGTTATTGGATTTAAGATTTAATTATCTCACAGACAATTATTTTTCATTTATTTAAACTAAGTTCATTTTTCCATGTTCTAGAACATTCATAAAGTCATAACCATTGCTACATTTTAGTTCAATTTTTTTTTTGGTCTACTTTGAGCCTCATCAATTGTATTTTGATAGGAAACTAGTATCAGGATGTTCTTTTTTGTTTAAAAATAACAATCAATTCAATTCAGTTGGCTATGTTAAGAAGTGATGGCTTTGTAGCTGATGAGTTTGTAGTTTTGTTTAATTGGGTTGATTTATTTAGGTTGTCTTAAAACAAAATTCATTAAAAGTATTGCAAATTTCTGATCAACATATTAAAAAAAACCCTTTTAAACATGTATTAGAAATCTACGAGCAAGGCAAACTGCAAAGTTTCTTGCTGTGTCTACTAATTATTTATTGCACATTTGGTTACTAAAATTATAAAAATATAACCTTTGGTCATCACTGAAATAATTTTTTTTAAACTTCCTAAAACAGGTATTAATATTACCCTATGCTAATATTAAGGGAGGGTGGGATTAAATGATCAGCCTACATAAGTATTTGCATTTTGTTAGATAAGTCAAACCTTATCATAAGGTATATCAAAGGTGGGGGCATTGGGTTCGTTCATAAATGATGTCACACTCGTAAGGGGGAGGGGGTCCGTAATTTTGTCATGAGGGGGAGGGGTTCAGATGGTGTGACATCACACTTTTGCATTATCCAAAAGCTATGTTAGAAAACGAATTTTAGCCGTTATTTTGCGTTTTAGAATATTGTTTCAATAAAGTGTAATAGGAATTGATTAAAATACTCTATGTTGACAGAGGTCAGACAAGATTTTTAAAAAAGATATCGTAGTTTAAGAAAAATTCGACTGCAATTTTTAGGGGGGGGGGGGTGGTAGGCTGAGGTGTGACGTCATTTTAGAGGGCGGGGTCTGGCTTTTGTGACGATATGTGACCGAGGGGAGGTGGGAGGTAAAAATCGTCAAAAAAGCGTGACATCATTTATGAATGACCCCCATTGGTGTTGATTGGGAAAACAGGGTTTAAGGTTTTTGTTGTGGCTGTTAATAGTTAAAGCCTTGAATAGCTACAGTAAGTCAACCCTGTATTTTAATACAGTGACAATCTTATTAGGATCTGCATATAGTGGGCTTATTATTCAATAACAAGACATAGAGGTTAGCAAAATATTCGTTACTTAACAGTTGGCTGACTACACACTTTAACTCAAGCTAGGAAGTTCTCAAAAATTAAATACAGTAATGTTATAAAAGCTGGCTGGGAGGGGGGGGGGGGAGTTCTACAATAGCACATTATGGGGTAGGCCTAGAGATGGGACTAACATTGTAAACTAATTTTGTTGTAAGCACAATCCTTTAAAGATTAATTTTTATTTGACGCTTGTTACAAAGAAAATAAATCCATTTTAAAGGAATGTAAATTGAACATAATATGAATCAAATGTCTCAAAAAATAATGAAATAATAGTCCATTTTATTTTGAAATTCCGCGCGGAATTAAGTTTCAGGGTTTCAAAAATTTCAAATTTTAGTTTCAGGATTGGTAAAAATTTGGGATTCATTTTCAGGATTCACTTAAAAAATGAGTGGCACCCCTGCCTTATGTTTCTCGTAAGGAAAAGTTACAGGCTGGTTCTTGTGTGGGGTTTACTTTGTTGACTTCAACATTTTTTTGTCACCAGGTATTTTTCAATAGTATTGCTGTTTTTGGAGAAATTATCCCTGCTAGAGAACACAAGATTGTTACAGAGCCAGTACCTTGTGTACTTGCAGTGTCTGATGCAGACATTTCTGATGAAAGGAAATGAGTTGAGATCTAAATGTTAGTAGGTTCTTGTGTTTGTGGAGTTAGCAGTAGGTTTTTGTCTGCTGTATTTTGGTGCATTAAGTTTAAAGCTCTTTGCTCCCCTAAAACATACGCATTTGATCTTGTTAGTAGGTTCTTGTGTTTGTGGAGTTAGCAGTAGGATTTTTGTCTGCTGTATTTTGGTGCATTAAGTTTAAAGTTCTTTGCTCCCCTAAAACATACGCATTTGATCTTGTTAGTAGGTTCTTGTGTTTGTGGAGTTAGCAGTAGGATTTTTGTCTGCTGTATTTTGGTGCATTAAGTTTAAAGCTCTTTGCTCCCCTAAAACATACGCATTTGATCTATGCTGCTGTTGTGTTTATAATAGTCAAGCTTAAATCCCTTAGTCTTCCCAGCTTTGTGGGGTGGTGGGGTGGGTGTGTGTGTGTGTGTGTACCAGGCTCTCATTAGGGAAAGTAAAGGAGGGTGGGCATAGAACTGACCAGATAATCCCATTACATGTCATGGTCATGACACTAAGTGAACTCTACTTCACCTGCCCTATTTGATCATCATTTCCTTAAGAGTATCTTTACTATTTATCAAATTTTTATTTGCATGACAGTTTTTGTATTATCACGTTATTTCTGGACAAAATGAATCCCTAACCTAACCTTCTGTTCTCAGTCCCTCTACCCAAGGACTGGCCAGCACCTTTAAAAACTCACATACTCACCACCTTCACTCTAGAGATCAATGAACCTGGGCGAAAATTTCAAAGGTTTGTTTCACTTTAACACCGGAATATATTTTCACGTTTTACCAGAATTTTTTTTAATTTCACCAATTTTTTTTTCACTCCCTGTGCAGCAAAACGACTCATATTTGTAACCTGTTTATTTAAAACCCATACATTTCTAATATAAATTAATGGTAATTGAATAACCTACATACTAATATTAATTTTAAGTAATAATGTTTCATCGATAATTAAATAATTATAAAGTTTTGAAGAAGAAAAAATTTAAAGAGTATCTTTTTGGGGAAAATTTTGATAAAATAATTTATGCTAAATGTTAATTTTCCGTTAGGTCTTATTCATAGAAAATGAAAGTTTCTCTGTTTCTCGTAACAAAATCAAGGATTGAAGTACATTCTTTGATTTTGGTTAATCTTATAACACTGTTACATATACATGTAGACGTGACTGCTGAATGCATTTTCTCAGTCTTTAAAAAATGCTTTTTTGTGAGTGGTATTACAAAAAAGTTTCTATTAAAGACATAATCATCCCATTGCAAAAACTACAAGAAGTAAACACATCTAAAATTGGCCATACTGCACCTAGATTTAGGATTAAAAACTTGGATTTAGTAAAACAACGAATTAAAATATTATCACAGGTTGGGAGTGTTGTTACAGATTGCCAGGCTTAAAAACTTAAACACCAGTCCAGTTTTTGTAAACACAAATCTTGACATTATAATATAAGGGTGCCTAACTAATTCTCTTCAGTATAATTAAAATATGTTTTTATTTAGTCTTAAGAGGCTGTAATTGTAATATCATAATCTATCTACTTTTTGTGTGAATAAAATGCTTGTTAACAAGGTTTTTTTATATTCGAATTTTTATCATATCTATATATATAATTCTCTTCTGGGATCAGTTAGAAAACAAGCTGCAAGCGCGCCTTTGCAGTCCCCTCTCTTCCTCTCTACCACTACCACTATCACTACCACCCCCACCCCACCCCCACATGATCTGGTGAGCGGTGTTCACTCTGTTTACATTTTACAATCATAGAGACGGGTTTGGTGACGGCTATTAGGGGCAGATAATTTAGTTTGGAACGATTTTAAACTTAGAGGAGGTAACTAAGAGGAGGCTGCTTTCACGTGGGGGGGGGGGGGGGGGGGGGGGTTTAGTGTTTTTAAGCAAATATTTTCAGTGGCAGCATTGGTACTGTCGAATTCACAAATTATGAATTACTGAAAAGTAGAAAATAAAACAACTAAATAGCGGCGTATGATACGCAGCGGGTCGGCTCGTTATTAATTATTTTCATTATGTAGGTGTGTGCCATCACTAATTACTTGTTTTAATTATACAGGTGTGTGCCATCAAGAATGAAGGATCTACTCTTGTCCCACATCATAGTTGTAGCCCTCACACTCTTCAAGTTCAACTTATCGCTGGATTCACTGCTCAAAGACCTCAGTATCTCACAAAGAAGGTTAGACATCTTTTTTTTTTTTACAATTGTTTTACCTTTATTCCTAGTCAATTCAGGGTGGAATCTTTCTTTCACTCATTTTAACATCTGGACTGAATCTTTAACCACAGTGCCATATTCTAAACATTTTCGTATAATTAGATATTAAATTAATGTTTAGAAATTCAGGATTGTTATTTAAAAGAAAACCAGAACATTTAATGATTTCACATCCAACTCAGGTAGTGGAATGCACCACCTGATTTGGAAATGTTAATTTAGCTGCTAGTCTTTTGGCGGAGGTCAAGAGACACACCTGACTTGTGATAGGATTTTGTCAGTTCGGACCATTTAACAATTAATAAGGGTTTGTTAAATACGCATATGAAACTGGCGATGTACAGTACGTCTAAAATGGTTCCACTGGGCTGACGTACTAGCGTAACTTGCGCCGGTTATTCCTTTATTACCGATAGACAGCTTCAATATTAAAGCATAATTTGATTAACTTTATTTAGAGATTCAGCACTTAAGTATTATCATTTCGTAACTGTCCATGGAGCATGTTTTTTTTTTTTTACAAATATCATTGAATCTCCTCAGTGAAATTCATGCAAGCTGTTGACTCGTGCAGTTGTCTAGCAGGCCTGAATATTATATGTTCCTGTTTATCTAAAAATAACATTCAGCTTGTTGTGTTTCCTGTTTGTTCCAGACTGGCTCTGCACATGCGCAGTTTAGGTTGCACTGTGAAGAAGACAAAGGGTCTGAATGAGAGCTATGTGGCTGTGTTGACTGTTCCTCTCAAGTTCCCTGAGATCAGAGCCAAGGCAGATAAGAAAAGAATTTTTTAGTGTAGGATGGTGAAGGAAGCAGACAAAGCTCTTATTGTATTTAGACTCTTAGATTTGTAATGACACAATGTTGTTTTGTTGAGATGCTTTGTGAAATGTATACAGCCTGTGTTTTGACTGGGCTTAAAACAAATAAATATTGGATCTTAGCTGGTCTGTTTGTTAACATTGATTTTTTTTGTTGTCATGATTTTGGGTTTGTGGCAGCCAATGTTCTTGTTAAGAGGAAAAAGTTGAAGTGCAACGTGTTTATCATATGCATTGTGTTCTAAAAGTATGAGTATGTAATTTACAAAATGGCTCTATGGCAGGTTCATAACTACCGCGCAGCCACACAGATGGAACAAGTGATAGGTGGGTGATTGACATGTCAACAATGAATACCCTGCTCTTTAAAATAAATGTAGGTGCCATAATGCTCGCGAGATTTTCTTATAAGTTTTAGCACTGAAGGCTTAATTTTAATTACCGAATTTTTTTATGAACCGAAGGAAAACAACCAAGTTAATATTTTTTGCAATAATTTAAGCATGGTTAATTCCTCTGATTGCTTCAAATTCATTACAATTTCCTTATTTTAAAAAAAAATTAAAAGTAGCCCTACTTTACTTATTATTTTTACCCCATCATTCCACTGGAAATGTAGCTAATAACATTGTATTATGTGAACATAACAGGTCATGTGACCATGTACTTCTCTCAGTGTTATCAGTGTATAAAAAATTAAGTCAGAAGCCACTTACTATTTTGTTTCAACGTATTTTTAATACTGAAAACAAGTTACACATCACCACCTTTGGGCATTAAGAATGGATTGGATTGGCGAATTTTCCGCGGAATAAGATCTGACCCGTGACGTCATCCCTAATGAAAAACATAAAGGAGTGGTTGGCCTTGACGAGGTAGGAATCTTTTGGCGCCATCTTCCAGGATACCTCAGTAGACGCGCCACCGGAAGCAAACGCTCCCTGCTCGTTGACCTCCATCTTCGCCATATGCAGCATGTGACTCGCCCCAACGCGGAGTTTGGTCATGCCCGAAAAATCCGCTTTACTTGAGAAGACCTTTTTTAACCCTATAGCTTTAAGAGGATATTCTAGATCCACCAGCGTAGTTACCGTAAACTTGGGGATGTAGAAACTGATCATCTTGGGTTTAAGATCGGTGAAAAGATTATTAAATTTATTCCCATCTCTGCGTAGCAGGCCTTCGAAAGCGGTCATGCCGGTGAGAGATCGCGGCACAGCGAAGTACATCGCGAACCGGGTGTTCTGGAAGGGAAGTTTAACCACGTCCACGTCAAGATACTTGTCTGTTTTGGACTCGAGTTGTTTAGCGAGGAACATCATGTCGACACTGGCTAAAACACCGTAACCGTCGTCCACGAAGAAGGCTTGTTTGCTGGTTTTCTTCGGGTCGAACGGCGTCTCCCACGTGCCGTTGAAGAGGAGGGCGTTGATGAGCATGAGGATGGTGTGTTCGTTGATGGTCTCTGGCGCCAGGAAGTCTTTGATCTGCCCGTCGGTTGTGTTGGCGATCCAGTCGTTGATGGGGGTTTCCGGTCCGGCTGGGGACGTTATGTCCATGGTGTCGGCCAGGGCGTTGTAGTAATTCTTGACATCAGTCTGTGAATGTAAGTTGGGTGGGGAGAGGGTGGTGGTGGGACAAAAAGGGGTCGTGCATAAATGACAACACATGTAATATAAATTTTTTTTTTTAGCTTTTTAAAAAAAATATATTTTTTAAACGCAAAAAAACATTTTTTATCCTTTAAACTTTCTAGACGCTCTAAGAAATTGGGTGGCCTAAACTATTACAAACACCCGAATGAAATAGTTTTGAGAATCCCTAGATATTTTTTTTTTCATTTTTAAATATATTTTCGAAACGGAAACTCATTTTTTTTCCTTCAAACTTTCTGAAGGCCACAAGAAAGTGGGTGCTCTAAAATATAGCCAAAAAAATAAATAAAATAAACATAATTTTCTACATATAAGCTTGAATGTGACCTTTCATGCTGGTTTTAATAGATTAGCCCCTTTGCCTTAATTTGAATTTTCCGACACCCTAAAAGAATTGTAAACTATTTCAATGACGAAACTATTCTGCAAATTGACCAATATTCCTCGATTATTGGTTATTTTACTTTTAACTTTATCAAAAGTGTGATATGAGGAAATTTCCGAATTTAAAGATATCTTTACATCAAACATACTTATTCACTAACTAATTACATTCATTAACTCTAAATTGCTAAAAATACGACTTACTTTGACGTGCAAACAAATATGATTTTGAGAGACGTGAAAACACACAGCCTTAAAGATCTAGAGCAGGGGTCTCCAAACTTTTCAGTCCGAGGGCCGCATTAACTATCAAATTTCAGTTCGGGGGCCAGTTTCTTTCAGGCATGTCATTGATTTTTTTAGGCAAAGTTCCTCAGCCATCACAAACAAAAGATTTTTCCTTGGACAAAAAGATCTCCGCGGGCCGGATGAGAGGACCTCGCGGGCCGCATACGGCCCGCGGGCCGTAGTTTGGAGACCCCTGATCTAGAGGTAAGTACGAAAATGACACGATAAGCGATAGATAGAGGACATACCTGGTAGTCTGGAATCAGCTGGACGCTCGGCTTGACCCAGACACCGTTGACCAAGTTCATATTGACATCGTGGACGGTGTTATAGTCCCTGATGATGGTCTGGTAGGTAGTGTGAGGGTGTAAGACTTTCGTCAGCTGTGGGAAAATATGGGATATAAGACATTAGTGAGTTGTGTTAGGTAGTGTGAGGGTGTAAGACTTTCGTCAGCTGGGGGAAAATATGGGATATAAGACATTAGTGAGTTGTGTTAGGTAGTGTGAGGGTGTAAGACTTTCGTCAGCTGGGGGAAAATATGGGATATAAGACATTAGTGAGTTGTGTTAGGTAGTGTGAGGGTGTAAGACTTTCGTCAGCTGGAGAAAATATGGGATATAAGACATTAGTGAGTTGTGGTAGGTAGTGTGAGGGTGTAAGACTTTCGTCAGCTGTGGGAAAATATGGGATATAAGACATTAGTGAGTCGTGGTAGGTAGTGTGAGGGTGTAAGACTTTCGTCAGCTGAGCAAAATGTGATATAAGACATTAGTGAGTTGTGGTAGGTAGTGTGAGGGTGTAAGACTTTCGTCAGCTGTGGGAAAATATGGGATATAAGACATTAGTGAGTTGTGGTAGGTAGTGTGAGGGTGTAAGACTTTCGTCAGCTGGAGAAAATATGGGATATAAGACATTAGTGAGTTGTGGTAGGTAGTGTGAGGGTGTAAGACTTTCGTCAGCTGGGGGGAAATGTGATATAAGACATTAGTGAGTTGTGGTAGGTAGTGTGAGGGTGTAAGACTTTATTCAGCTGGGGGAAAAATGTGATATAAGACATTAGTGAGTTGTGGTAGGTAGTGTGAGGGTGTAAGACTTTCGTCAGCTGTGGGAAAATGTGATATAAGACATTAGTGAGTTGTGGTAGGTAGTGTGAGGGTGTAAGACTTTATTCAGCTGGGGGGAAAATGTGATATAAGACATTAGTGAGTTGTGGTAGGTAGTGTGATGGTGTAAGACTTTCGTCAGCTGTGGGAAAATATGGGATATAAGACATTAGTGAGTTGTGGTAGGTAGTGTGAGGGTGTAAGACTTTATTCAGCTGTGGGAAAATGTGATATAAGACATTAGTGAGTTGTGGTAGGTAGTGTGAGGGTGTAAGACTTTATTCAGCTGGGGAAAAATATAATTTGTGGCTGTAGATAGATGGTGGAAAATGGTACATGAGACTTTAGTGAGCTGGAAACGAAAAGGTGATATTGAACTATAGCTGGAAAAAAGTAATTCGAGATTTTAAAAGTAGAATGTATAATAGTGTGATATGAGACTTGAGATAGTTGGAAAATGTAAAAAGATGATTTAAGGTTAAGGATCGCTCAAAATTAAATAATCTGATTTGTGAATTGAAAAAGTTTACATAATTTTTTTTTAAATTGATGTGGAAAAAAAAAGAGACACCTATTCAAAATTGCATCAAATATACTAGACTTATGAACATTTCCAAGCACAGACTTTAAAACAATGAACATTAAAAATTGTAGCCTATTTATAAAATATGTCCAAACATAGAAACGTCGTCTTTTTATAGAAAAACAATTGTAAGAGAACTGAAACATCAATGCAAAGTACATTTTTGAGAAAAAAAAATCTAGGTGAAAGTGCTCATGATTTCCATTTTTGTGTCGTGTCTAAATTAACTAAGGTATAATATTGCTTGCCAAATTTTGTTTTTAGGAATTAATAGAGACAATATTGTGAATACTGTAGCTCTTATGAAGAATATCAGACAACTTCTAAAACAATGGTGTAATTTTTAAAGTACTTCGAAAACTTGTATTCATTTTATTAATTTTTAATCTTTCCCAGAATAATGTTCTTTAGATCGAAGTTCCGTGCAATGAATGTTGTAAATATATTATTTTTGTTGGTATGATGAGTAGATCTAATGCTATTTAATATTTTCACCGTTTTCTAATTGACACATCACTTTTGTCCTTTTTGGGGGATTTAAAACTTTGATGTACTAGAACTTTAACTAAAATTGTTTGTATTTTTTATTGTTTAATAGGTATACTGTAGAAATATTGAGTTAAATAGGCTATATATATATATATATATATATATATATATATATATATATATATATATATATATATATATATATATATATATATATATATATGTGTATATACATACGTATGTATATATGTATGTACATATAAAACTTACGTGTAGGACTGATCTCATCTCTGTAGCAGCATCACCCTTGATACCCAGGTACAGCATCGACAGGGATGCATGCGCACTAAAGGGGGAGAAGATGAGGTTTCTATCCTTTTCATTCTTCTTGACCAGTTGGTTGTAGATGTCCTGAGAGAACTTGACCGACGCTTTGCTCATCTCAACCATGTCCGTATCCGGCACGGCGCCAGTGACGGCAGCACCTACTGCTAGAAGACACAGTGCTAGAAACATTGTTGGTCGTATTCCAGACTGTAGAATGGAGAGGTGTGTGTTACTTCGTCTTTTATACGCAACAAGAAGATTAGTTAGTCATTATATAGATTTTTTTTGTTTGTTGGTTGGTTTTTAATTGGTGGGTAAATTAAAATCGATACGAAAGGCTAAGGCTGGGAAATGTTAGTTTCGTAGGTGTAAAGGCTATGAAATGTGCCTAGCTGGCCGAGATGGTAGTGTAATAGACACCATGTAGGTGGTACGGGTTCGAAACATATCAAGTCAATGTAAAATTTTATGTTAAGGGGCGGAGTGGCCTAACGGTAGTCACGAATTCGAATCCGGGTTCAAATCAGTAGACCGTCCCTCAGTCCAGCATTCTGATGGGTACCTAACTCACGTTGGGGAAAGTATAAGCGGATGCACAGAGTGCAGCCTACACTGTCCCTTCATATGCCGAGAAACGGGTGAACTCTACTTCACTTGCACTATAGACCGTCAGGTTTGCAAGGGGAACTTTATACTTTTAAAGGTTATGAAACGTTTGGTGAAGTATATCGGTGAATTATTCAAGAAGATTTTAGAGAAAGAGTTTTAGAACATCAATGCCTTTTCGATTCTTGACATGCAGAAGAGCAAATGTTAGCTAGGTTGTTTGTACAGCGTCTGTTGACCAAAGTTTCTTTCAGGCATCTCACTGCTCCCTCCCCTTCCCCCACCTATCAGAGCACGTCCACCACCCCTCCCCTCGGATGAGATAGAAAAATATTTATTTTTAAATAGAAAATACATACTATAACCAGTGTCGCCTACCCCCTCACCGGAAGTTTTAAGTGCCATCTGCAGAAAAATATCTGAAAGAAACCCCTGTGGATCTACCATGCGTTACGTACAGGCGGTATTACAGTGCCATCGCCAACAGGATGATGGGGGAGGGAGGAGGTATAAACACAACATTGGACCCACAAAGCGATAATTTTTCAAAATCTGAGATGCCATACAAGCAAACATTTTACTAATAAATTTATAAATTCACATTTTTAATGGGAGTGATAAATGGATGACCCTTCAATGTACTGATCTTGAGAATTGTTAATTAGAATTTGTAAACAACGACGGGGGTCGGTCAATGAGTTTTCGCGTTATAAATTACTTACCTGTCTTATTTTAATTAATTACAACAACAGGTGTGGGGGAGATTTCAACACTTTTCTGTTGTACTTTTGAGTTTAGCAGCTTAAAGCTCTTAAAATAAAAATGTGTAACATAAACTTTTAATATCTACTGTGTAATAACCATTTTGCACACTAGCTCTTAAAATATAAAAACAAACATTTTACAATTCCTTACATACAACCAAAACCTCTATATTTTAAGACCATTCAACATTTGTATTATTCAATTTAAAAAGTTCTCAGCGATTAAGAGCTTACGATAGATTCTATTTCAGAAACACATTTGTTTCCTTAAATGACTTCGGTTACCTCACGGAATATAAGATTAAAAGTTAGTTGCACGTTAAAGTCTAACCCCCAATTCTTAACCCAACTGAAACCCTGAATGTCGCATGACAAAATCAATACCGTCTTAAGTTGTGTTTAATTAAAAAAAACCACAGAAATTCTCCATTCACATCTAGATACAAATAGCCTAAGTAAAAAAATTATCAAAATCTTAATGGTCATATCTCGCCATTCTATATTTGAAACTTATATCTTGAAATAAAGCAGATGTCAGCGCAATATCCATTGAAGAGATCGTTTAGGCAGCAGTGGGTCTAACATGTATCGATTTTTGTAAAAATGTGCACGATCTCAATTGTCAGTTTAAAAGTGTGATCTAGTTGTGGATTTCACTCAACTTTAAAACATTTTATTATCATGTTTGTTATCCCGTTCTGTGTGTGTGTGTGGGAGGGGGGGAGAGTCAACCATAAATGTCTTCACACTTTTTAGGACGATTTTACCTCACACCCCCTCTCTTCCATCACAAAAAGCCAGACACTAAAATGACGTTACATCTCAGCCTACAACGCCCTTCAAAATTGCAGTTGAATTTTCTATTAAGTCTATTGAACAGCTAAATTCAGTTTTTCAACATTAATTTTTTAATGCAAGTCACACTATCTGAACCCCCCCCACCCACACCGTTACAAAATTACGGACCCCCCCTCCCCCCTACGAGTATAACGTCATTTATGGACGACCCCCTCTGGTATCCTGTTAATTTTTTTAAATCAATTTTTAAAAAAAAGTTTAAACAAAGTAACATTTTATTGGTGTTTATTATGAATTGAACTTATACACATGTCTCACAGATGTATAAGTTAATGTAAATAAATACAAAAGTAAAAAAACAAAAACAACCCAGGTTCTAGCTGGTGTTGACAGTTGTGATATCCGGGTTTGTAAACTTTCCCTGGAACAAAATCAATCCGGTCAAATCGTCTCTCAGAAAGTAGCAGAAGGCGTGGTCAGCTCTAAACACGGTCCTTTCTGTCGGGGGCCTGAAGGCGCTAGATCTGGACATCTGGACAACGGTCGCCGCTGCCGCTACTGTCCCCGTCTCCATGACCTCGATGGTCGCTTTCTGGATCACACTGGATATCAACACAGGCTGATCGGTAATTCCCGAAAAGTTGGCCGCGCTGCTGAATGCGGTAGGCATTCCCATAGATTTTAACGGGTTGTTGAGGTTCATGGTAGCGCTGTGGTTAAACTTAGGCAGGTATAACTCCACCAATCCCGCGGTGAAGTTAGTGAATAGGTTGTTTAAATCCACCATGTTACCGGATGTTAGCCGTGATTCTAAATCCGGTAAACCGGAAACGGATCTAGGTAAAGCGACGTAAAAAGCGAATCTTGTATTCTGGAACGGAATTTTGACCATGTCAACACCAGGCATGGCTGACTGTCTGATCTGGAATCTTCCAACCTGAGACATCATGTCTACCTGTGCCACGGAGCCGTCCGACTTGTAGAAGTTGGCCTTCTGTGTGGCCGGCGTCTTGAACTTTGACTCCCAGACGCCGTTGAAGTAGACGGTGTTGACCAGGACCATGAGCGTGGCGCCGTTGATGGCACCAGGCTGGAGGACTGACCGGATCTTGTTCACGGTTCTGTTGGCTATCCAGGCGTTGATGGGAGCTTCCGGTCCGCCATTGGCGCTCAGGTCGAAGTTCTCAGAGGTAGCGTTGTAATTTTCAGCCGCTTCCATCTGTACAACAGAAGAGATTCAACGTCACAACACGTCTTTGACATATATGTTGCAATGTTTACTTAAACCATAGGCGTAGCGAGGGGGGGGGGCGGGGGGACATATGTCCCCGGGCACCGACCTCAGGGGGGGGGGGGCGCCAAATTGAAAATTTGAGGGGGGGGGGGGGGTTGCAAATGAAAAGTTCGAGGGGGGTAAGCAAATCGAAAGCTTGATGGGGGGGGGGGGGGGGTGGTGCAAATGAAAAGTTCGAGGGGGGGGTGCAAATCGAAAGTTTGTCCCCGGGCGCCGGGAAGGGTCGCTACGCCTCTGACTTAAACGAAGACAGAGGGTAACTATTCATAATATTCATAAGTAGTGAACTAACGAGTGATTTATAGAGAAAGCTACTTTTTATGTTATACAAATCGTATTTGCTGAACAAGCAACAAGCAACCGCTAAATTTCTTGGCACTATTGACCGATTTAAAAATCAAAGTATTTTTTGGAGCAATTTATTAAAATTAGCTTAAAATTTTAAGGCAGTCCATAACAGTTGTAGGAAGGAGTACCGCTGCTAAGAAAGATATATAACTTTAAAATAGCTAAGTATACGAGGACATTGTCTCTTCTTACCGTAAAAGTCGATTTAACAGGGTAGGATGGATTCACCCATATCCCATTGGCCACTGACAGTTGAACGTTTTGCACCGTGTTTAGATCGTGTAGTAAAGTTTTGTAAGCCGCATGTGGAGCCTGTACATCGTTCAACTGTAAAGACAAATATACATAATGAATAAAATCTTAGGGCAAAAGGAAGGAATGTTCATTATGAAACCCCCTGCAACTATCAATCGACGTCTAAAGAAATATTTAATTAGCAGATTTAAAAAGGAACTCCCAAATAAACAGCTAACATTTTAAAGTCCCCAATGCATTCTCTTGCATGTTACAACACATGGGTAAAATATTATAAAATTATAAAAAAAACAACTGATTTATTGTGAAGTGTTGTGCGCAACAACAGTGTCATCAGAGTAAGTGCGCATGTCTATGTGACCTACATTGCATTTTCAACTAGACATAAACAAATCATGTTAGACAAGTGTCAAAGAAACAACCTGTCGCGAGGCATGTTGCGTCACGTAGTTAGTGTTAGAATATCATTCCGGCACAAAGCTTTTGTGTTGCTTCTGGTGTATCATAAGACCAAACTACCGACACGAAATTAGCAGATCTTACACTAATTACTGACAGGTCTAACACTAATTACTAGTAACTGACAATTTTCACTCTATTTTCTGGCAGGTCTCACATTAATTGACATGTCCACTACTAATTACTGACAGATCTGACACTAATTACTGATGTCTCACATTAATTTATGACGTCCACCACTAATTACTGACAGGTCACACACTAATTACTGACAAGTCTCACACTAATTACTGACATATCCACACTAATTACTGACATGTCCAACACTAATTACTGACAGGTCTCACACTAATTACTGACTCAGGACCAACTCAGGACATACACGGAGACTCACCTGCAAAGTGTTTTTCATCTCACTGGCGGTTTGACCTCTGGCCCCCATGGAGGTCATGGTCAGGCACGTGTGGGCACTCAAGGGTGAGTAGATGGCCGTCGGACGGTCCAGCGCCACGTGTCTGTACAGCTGCAGGGAGAAGAGCGCCGAGGCTTTGGTCAGTTTTTGGACGTCGCTGTTGACGGCAGTAGGCGCGCCACAGCTGGGCTGGAGAACACACAGTGCCACAAAACACGCGAGAACCCGATACATCTTGGTGAGGGGTATCAGCTGCTGTAGGTGTCGGCTGAATATCTGGTGGAATTGCTCGGTGGGTAGACTATGTCGATACGAATCAGCTTTTAAACTTGTCGAACAAAACTGGAGAAATATTGATCACTATGATACTGTAAAGTAGACTGACTAGAGTTGATAAGTTTTGTCTTTAAAGTTATTCCAGTTAATATTATGCAAAGTACCAAGTTCTTAAACAGCAAGTAGATGAACTGCAGTTTTATACGTTCGTACGTCTAAATATACAGAAAGCAATTAGTATTTTAACCAATGGCTGCATTCGTTACAAAGCCCAGACAAATTTTGACGTCGTAGTTTACACAGTGTTTAATTACGTAACGAGTGCTTGACGTCAGGTAAGGGACAAAAATAGCCTGTATTTTTGCTAGCCTTAATTAGGTCACCGCGACGACTTAAAAAAAAACAAATGGCTGACGTAGCGCATACCTAACTGCCAAATGTCAACCTGTTGTTGCGAAGTGTGGACGGTATTTTGTTTTTACCTCACCTGGTACAACGTTCATTTCCCTCTCCCCGGATCTTGTAAAGGCCAAGGTCGCCAGACTTGCCCCTGTTTGCACGCGGTGGCCTCAATGTACAGAAAATAGGATCTGTCGTCTGAAAATATCCTGTTTCCTCTACTAGAAGTAGCGAGATTATCCGGTATCTAAAACAGGTTGTATTTAAACGAGCCATTATTTATACAACTTAAAAAAAATATCGGTGGCCACAATGGATAGGCTTATTGAAAGTGTGGACATAGTCAGACTAATTGCTAAATACAAAAATTGCCAGTATTTTAACACGCAACATTCTGTTAAACCAATATTGCTTATACAAATGAACATATCAATAATTTGCGAATAGACTAAGATTTCATAACCGACTCATGCCATTATGTACCTGAAAAACAGGGATACGTGTTTTCACAAAAACATCAATTAAGGGCAGAATTATCTGTTAGGATATACGATATGTATTGATAAAAACGAAGATAATAAAATATTTTTTTTAAGAAGAACGTCCAGTTTTACAAACTTCGAACTTCTCAGTATAATCGGTAAATACATTAAAATTCATAATGTTTTAGCCCTGCTAAGTAAATAGTATCAAATTGAAAAACAACTATTCTAAAGTCTTAGGTTTTAAATATACAAAAGGTTGGAATTTACAATATTAGTAAACCTATTAACATTAAAAATTTGAAAAAATGTAACAATACTTATCACTCCAGTTGTAAGGTCAGCCTCCAATCAATGCCATCTAGGCATGTTTTTGTAAGGTGAAATAAAATCCTCACGTCGCTATGTCGGGCAGAGATAAATCACTGTCTGTTTTTAAATAGACAAATTTTAAACAAATGCATAGATATGATCTGTACCCTAATCAGTAATTTATAACCGAACCTGGCTCAATGCAGATATCAGAACAATGAACCATTACAACAACGTTAAAGCTGGCAGCAAACGGGCCAAACCAACGTCCTCTTCCAGCTCATGAATTTAACAGATAAGTTTTATACTACCAAAAACTCTGTCATGATCTAACTCATCAACAATTTCGTCCTGCTAATAATGTTTATTACTATAACCACGTATGTCCAGTGACAGGGAGCCGAGAAATGGTCAAGACCACTTTCAGCCGACCATGACTCAAACTCACAAGTACAAAGTAATCGTTGTGGTAATGAGAACATTTTCATTCCATTTTATAAATGGCAGCGAGTTAACTCTTTCAATTCTCAAAAACAGCCTGGCTTTAGGCCTAAGGCTAATAATGATCATTACTATAACCATGTAAGTACAATGCCATTGGGAGTTGAGCAAACCTCCTGTCAGAACACCCCGAATCACCGAATAGTCAGATTGTATTTCTTACAGATGCCAAATCAGTCCTGCAATCCCTAAAAATCCAGAGTCTTATATTCAAACACTTATGACAAAACTAGAGAGGCTAAAAATACCTGCAGCAGAATTGTGCTTCAGTGGATCCCCGGCCACTGCCAGATCCAGGGTAACGAGATCGCAGACCAGCTGGCAAAAATTGGGGGAAAGAAACCACAACCGGAAATTTCGCTACACCCGAAAGAAATAAAAAGAATAATAAAAAACAAACAGACGCAAATGTGGTCTGTCACACACCCTCACTACAACAAAGATGACGGCTATTATAATCTGACACGAAAACAACAATACATAATCTTTCGACTTAGAACAGGCCACAACAGACTGAATCAACACATGCACAGAAAACTGAAGGTTGGGTGTAGCGAAATGTGCCCTTGTGGCAAGGCCCCGGAAAATACGGAGCACGTACTCCAGGAATGTACTTTGTATAGCCAGGCACGAGTCAGACACTGGCCCCTGCCCACCGCACTCAGGGAAAAATTATATGGGGCTCCTGCCAAACTGGAGACCACAGTCCGGTTTGTCCACGAAGTTGGACTTGATGTCTGAATCCTCCACCATATTCACAATAAAGAACGAAGAAGAAGAAGAAGACACACAAACTAATACAATGACACTGGGAGCCGAGAAATGGTCAAGACCATTTTCAGCCGACCATGACTCAAACTCACAAGTATAAAGTAATCGTTGTAGTAATGAGAACATTTCAAATCCATTTCATAATAGCAGCAAAGTAACTCTATTTCAATTCTTAAAAACAGCCTGGCTTTAGGGCACAGAATAATAATTTTCATTACTATAACCAAGTAAGTACGATGTAACCGGGAGTTGAGTAATGGTCAAGACCTCTTTCAGCCGACCAAGACTTAAACTCACAAATACAAAGTAATCATTGGAGTAATGAGAACATTTTCAATCCATTTTATAAATAGCAGCAAGTTAACTCTGTCAATTCTCAATAAAAGCCTGGCTTTAGGGCTAAGGCTAATAATGTTCATTACTATAACCATGTATGTACAATGCCATTGGGAGTTGAGTAATGGTCAAGACCACTTTCAGCCGAACATGACTCAAACTCACCAGTACAAAGTAACCGTTATAGTAATAAGAAATTTCGAAATACATTTTAAAAAACCAGCAAAGTGATAGTTGGAATCGCTCAATAACAGACTGGCTCTAGGCCAATGGTGATAAAAATGATTGCTTTAAACATGCCCTTACATTACCACTGCAAACCAAGTAATTGTCAAGACTACTTTTATCCGATGTTCATTTGTTGTCCTAATAAGGACAGATTTAGAGTTTAACATCAGAAATAAAGTAAAGATATTACTCGAACCACTGAAAACCATGTCACATTAACAGATGCACCAGCATATATGACAGTTTTTCAACAATTAATTTCTATTTGATGAGCAAACATGGTTAATAATATAACCATGTGAGCACTTAAACAGAATTCAACTCTACGAACTAAATACATTTAAACCTAGGTCTATGCACGAACCAGTAAAGATTCAGTGTATAAATGATTTTAAAGTAACAATAGCAAATGTATCAGATCCACGATATAGGCTAAGATCAACTCCAAACAGCACAGATTTAGGAACTGTTAAGTTCAACACTACACACAAACTAATACAATGACACTGGGAGCCGAGAAATGGTCAAGACCACTTTCAGCCGACCATGACTCAAACTCACAAGTACAAAGTAATCGTTGTAGTAATGAGAACATTTCAAATCCATTTCATAATAGCAGCAAAGTAACTCTATTTCAATTCTTAAAAACAGCCTGGCTTTAGGGCACAGAATAATAATGTTCATTACTATAACCAAGTAAGTACGATGTAACCGGGAGTTGAGTAATGGTCAAGACCACTTTCAGCCGACCAAGACTTCAACTCACAAATACAAAGTAATCATTGGAGTAATGAGAACATTTTCAATCCATTTTATAAATAGCAGCAAGTTAACTCTGTCAATTCTCAATAAAAGCCTGGCTTTAGGGCTAAGGCTAATAATGTTCATTACTAAAACCATGTATGTACAATGCCATTGGGAGTTGAGTAATGGTCAAGACCACTTTCAGCCGACCATGACTCAAACTCACCAGTACAAAGTAACCGTTATACTAATAAGACATTTCGAAATACATTTTAAAAAACCAGCAAAGTGATAGTTGGAATCGCTCAATAACTGACTGGCTTTAGGCCAAGGGTGAGAAAATTGATTGCTTTAAACATGCCCTTACATTACCACTGCAAACCAAGTAATTGTCAAGACTACTTTTATCCGATGTTCATTTGTTGTCCTAATAAGGACAGATTTAGAGTTTTACATCAGAAATAAAGTAAAGATATTACTCGAACCACTGAAAACCATGTCACATTAACAGATGCACCAGCATATATGACAGTTTTTCAACAATTAATTTCTATTTGATGAGCAAACATGGTTAATAATATAACCATGTGAGCACTTAAACAGAATTCAACTGTCCTAACGAAATACATTTAAACCTAGGTCTATACACGAACCAGTAAAGATTCAGTGTATAAATGATTTTAAAGTAACAATAGCAAATGTATCAGATCCACGATATAGGCTAAGATCAACTCCAAACAGCATAGGGATAGGAACTGTTAAGTTCAACACTACACACAAACTAATACAATGACACTGGGAGCTGAGAAATGGTGAAGACCACTTTCAGCCGACCATGACTCAAACTCACAAGTACAAAGTAATCGTTGTAGTAATGAGAACATTTCAAATCCATTTCATAATAGCAGCAAAGTAACTCTATTTCAATTCTTAAAAACAGCCTGGCTTTAGGGCACAGAATAATAATTTTCATTACTATAACCAAGTAAGTACGATGTAACCGGGAGTTGAGTAATGGTCAAGACCTCTTTCAGCCGACCAAGACTTAAACTCACAAATACAAAGTAATCATTGGAGTAATGAGAACATTTTCAATCCATTTTATAAATAGCAGCAAGTTAACTCTGTCAATTCTCAATAAAAGCCTGGCTTTAGGGCTAAGGCTAATAATGTTCATTACTATAACCATGTATGTACAATGCCATTGGGAGTTGAGTAATGGTCAAGACCACTTTCAGCCGAACATGACTCAAACTCACCAGTACAAAGTAACCGTTATAGTAATAAGAAATTTCGAAATACATTTTAAAAAACCAGCAAAGTGATAGTTGGAATCGCTCAATAACAGACTGGCTCTAGGCCAATGGTGATAAAAATGATTGCTTTAAACATGCCCTTACATTACCACTGCAAACCAAGTAATTGTCAAGACTACTTTTATCCGATGTTCATTTGTTGTCCTAATAAGGACAGATTTAGAGTTTAACATCAGAAATAAAGTAAAGATATTACTCGAACCACTGAAAACCATGTCACATTAACAGATGCACCAGCATATACGACAGTTTTTCAACAATTAATTTCTATTTGATGAGCAAACATGGTTAATAATATAACCATGTGAGCACTTAAACAGAATTCAACTCTACGAACTAAATACATTTAAACCTAGGTCTATGCACGAACCAGTAAAGATTCAGTGTATAAATGATTTTAAAGTAACAATAGCAAATGTATCAGATCCACGATATAGGCTAAGATCAACTCCAAACAGCACAGATTTAGGAACTGTTAAGTTCAACACTACACACAAACTAATACAATGACACTGGGAGCCGAGAAATGGTCAAGACCACTTTCAGC